TAACATAATTGTGGAAACAAAAACAAATAAAGGCCTATAGAAATATTCAAATTGTCTAATTAACCAAATATTTTAAACACCTGTATTGTCTTCACTGACCCTCTCTCTCATGGACCAACTAGTCCATGCAACATTGACCACAGTTCTGTACCAACATGCAAAGTGTCGGGTGTTTATATCTTAGATTAGCCCGTCAAATATTTACCCTAAAATCGTGATGTTTCAGTTTAGCTCCGGTCTGAACTGTATTCCTGATAACCAGGTGAAATCGTCTCTTACCTCTTTTAATAAGATGTCTTGTGCAGGTTTTTGCACCAGACTGAAAAGACATTTATTTCTGTTATCAGCATCATCAATGACATTATTCATAATTCATAATCACAAATTCAAAAACAACTCATCTAAAAAGTCAACATGGCTTCGCAACTGGAAAAACCACCAGTAACAAGATACACTGACCTGAATATTTTACATTGTAATAAGACATATAGATACACACATAGACACATATAAACATATATATTGCTTTAAAATACCAGGCACCTCCACTGGCCTTAAAATAAAAATCAGTATAAGTCTGTCAGTTCGTACTTGGCCGTGTTGCCCTCTTCCGTGAGCACCCGCAGAAGGAAGGATCCCTGCTGATCGGGCTTAGCAGTGAAGGGAATGATGATGTAACGTCCTAATGGAAGGGAACCCCGAAGAACCACTTCCCTGCGTGTTGAGTAGTTAGGACAGAAGAGGACGGGGGGTGTGGCCTTCAGGTTGTCGAAGGACAGGTAGGTTTGGGAGGAATGTATCTGACGGGAGAGCACAGGTGTACAGCAGGTAATGTTAAATTAATGCACCTCACAGAGCCTGGATAGCTCAGTCATTTAGACAAGAGGAGCAGCACCTCACAGAGCCTGGATAGCTCAGTCGGTAGAGCATCAGACTTTTAATCTGAGGGTCCAGGGTTCAAGTCCCTGTTCAGGCGAGTCTGATTTTTAAAATGTGGAAGGAAGACGAACAATCTCTGTACATGTGGTAGAAAACATCCATGTCATAGAGCAGTGATTCTCAACCACTGTGCCGTGAGAGATCATTATGTGTGCCTTTCACTTCATTGGGCTGAAATCTATTATTTACTTATTGCATATCATTCTTCTTTGCTCATCAAAGCACGAAAGAAATAACAATGAAATACTCTTCTGCTAGTTGGCAGCAGATGGCGACGAAAACTAAAAAAAGATCATCAGAGTTGTTAAAGAAGATCTTTGTGACTTGTTGAAGAAGATCTTTGTGAGTGTCTTTCTTCAATTCCTGCCAGTATATCAGCATTGTGTTCAACTAAACAGGTCGAGATTCTAGTCAATTATGAGGTCATTTAAACTATAGATTATTATATTACATTGCATACTTTTTGTGAGATTTTTGTTTGGTGGTGTGCCATGGGGTTGATGATATATATATATATGTGCCGTGGCTCAAAAAAGGTTGGAAACACTGCCATAGAGACCTTGTTTCAGTGTGTTTACCGGGTAGACGTGCAGAGCTATAGCCATGTTTGTGCCTCTGCGTCTCTGGTGTTTCTGCATCAGAGCCAGAACAAAGGAGCAGGTCTTCTGGGAGGTCGTGTCGTCATCATCCGCTTCCAATAAATTGAGACAGAACTGAGGGTTTTGCCAGAACCCATCTTAACATACGTATAGACAAACACAAAGACGGAGACATTTAAAGACGGGCCTTAAATGCAACAAGAATAGAATAATTCAAATTCAATTAACCGTATTGTCCAGACTGAGTCGCACTTTTTTTAAATCCTTTGGCTGGGTTTTTAGTGACTTATACTCAAGGGGTGGTGTTTATAAATATATAATTTTACGTTTGTTATTTTCACACTGACAGCCGCTAGAGGGCATTCTGGGCTCGTGTACAAGTAACGTAAGAGCAACTTAAAATCCAGATAATACGGTAAATTCCATTATACAGTAGTTCAAGACCTATATATAAACTTATATTTAAAATGAAAGACATTTAAATGATTAAACTTATCATTACATAACCAATAAAACTAAATTACTTCAAAAGCATGTGTAGTTCTATGGTAATATACAGTATATTGAGCAATCACAATAAAATGGGTGGTCCAGACAGACAGACAGTGTTTGACTGGGCATGCTTATTCATGTAGCACCACCTTGTAATGATTTTAACAGCTGTACAAATGTTCCTGTTCCTACTTGACACACTAAAACACACTGTGCAAACAATTTCACAGTCTCCTCCTAAAGGGTGGGGCCATTCAAAGGTACAGTTTATTAAGAGACAGGTTTTAAATCGGTCAGCACTGTAGTGTGGCGAAGGAGTTTAATTTAAAATACACCTCGTTGTTAAATGGCCTTAAAAAAGTTTAAAAGAATTGTAACATTGAAACTAATGTTGTTGTCCTCTACACATAAACGACATTGTCTGAATATAAATCTGTACCTTCTTTGGAGGAGCCCCCTGCTGTGACCCCGGGCACCCAGTTTCCATGAAGCATGATGGAGTACCACGGCTCCACTCCGGATCTGGAGTCACAGAAGTTTTCGCTCAGATGACAAACCTCCATCATTTCAAACTGCTGTCGGAAGTCTGCGATCGACATCCTGATGGAAAGAACACGTCATTATCTTAGTCTGTGAAGGAGCAGCTGCGCAGAGCCAACAGTGACCACCGGGACAGCAGCTGTGTTTGTGCAGCTCCGTGTCACTGACTCCTCAAATGAAACCTCTGTTTGCCTTCTGGTTACTGTCGAGACATCGGCGGGAGGAGGAGTGTTTGTCTTCATGTTTGTAGATGGTGGAGACAATGATGTCAAACGGACGAGGAACACTGGAGGGAAGTGGACACACGCACACTCACCAGAACTCTCCGTCCTCAGCTATCACTCTCTGCAGCCTCTTCTGCTCCTCGGGGCTCACGCTGCTCCACTCTGGACTGATAGGAGACACACAAACAAATAGGAAAAGAGATTCAGTGACTTTAAAAATATAATATATGTAAATATATATAAAATAATTTATATATATTTAAATTATAAAAGAATATACTTAATATTTTGCCACTGTTACAGTGTTACAAAATGCATGAACTATATCATTTAATTGTGATTAGATTATTTTAAATAAATAAAAAAATAAAAGTAAAGATTCAGATAAACATAGAGACAAATAGGGTAAAATACAGGACAGCCAGAAACAGTATTTCCTGTTTCACATTTTCATGTTTCTACTTTAATCAGAGATATAAAAAGTATTTTAACGATCCTAATAATCTAAACATGAGGCTAATGAAAAAACATGCACCCATTCTCATCACTCCAAGGCCCCAGCCATTCAGTGTTGCCCCAGGGGTTAAGGATCCTGACCAACTCCTCTGTACCATGGGCCGTCTTCACCTGGCAAAGGCAAAGAGACACAGAACAGGTCAGAACAACTGTAAATGGCCGTGGATGGTGGAGTCACTTTTCAGTGTTCGTTTTCTCCGTTCAAATGCTTTTCCTGGTGCCTTTAAGTAACGTGTGTAAGGTCAAAACTCGTTTTGCTGCAGAAACAATAATTGGCTATCTGCCACCAGGATTAATCCTCTCGTTCGACTTGCTCAGCAGCTTTTACCTCCTCTACTGCAGTCACAGAGTAAGCGTGTCTGTACATGATGCCCAGGTCATTCATCTTGGCCAGAGAACCCTGGAGGGAAAGAACAACATTCACCGTCAGGACACAGCTCAGAACACACCGTGCGGGCACCGTATATTCTGGACTATAAGTCGCACTATTTTTTATCCTTTGGCTGGGTTCGCGACTCATACTTAGGTGCTACTTATATATTAAAATATATATTTACACGTTTCTTATTTTCATACTGACAGCTAGAGGGCACTGGTGCCACCTATATGTGTTTTTTTCTTCATTATGCTTTTTTTTTTCAGCTGGTGCGACTTATAGTCCAGAAAATACGGTACCTTTTAGATTGAACCGGTTCTCTCTGAGGTCTTTAAAAAAGCATCACAGCTAAGTCCCATAGATTCTGCCACCGTACCTGGCAGTTAGCACAGTTGATGAGCGCTCCTTTAGACAAGACATGTCGGAGGATGGACGTTAGGCCTCGGGGCAGAGATGCAATGTTCAAAACCTCAGTTACCCCACCTGTCATGTCCACCATGGCTTCGTGAGGAAAGCCCATGTCCAACGCTCTATAGCCACCCTTCAACCTGGGACACAGACAGGCATTCAAGACAGGAAGTAAACATCTGCCACCAGGATTAATCCTCTCGTTCGACTTGCTCAGCAGCTTTTACCTCCTCTACTGCAGTCACAGAGTAAGCGTGTCTGTACATGATGCCCAGGTCATTCATCTTGGCCAGAGAACCCTGGAGGGAAAGAACAACATTCACCGTCAGGACACAGCTCAGAACACACCGTACAGACACCGTATATTCTGGACTATAAGTCGCACTATTTTTTATCCTGTGGCTGGGTTCGTGACTCATACTCAGGTGCTACTTATATATTAAAATATATATTTACACGTTTCTTATTTTCATACTGACAGCTAGAGGGCACTGGTGCCACCTATATGTGTTTTTTTCTTCATTATGCATTTTTTTTTCAGCTGGTGCGACTTATAGTCCAGAAAATACGGTACTTTTTAGATTGAACCGGTTCTCTCTGAGGTCTTTAAAAAAGCATCACAGCTAAGTCCCATAGATTCTGCCACCGTACCTGGCAGTTAGCACAGTTGATGAGCGCTCCTTTAGACAAGACATGTCGGAGGATGGACGTTAGGCCTCGGGGCAGAGATGCAATGTTCAAAACCTCAGTTACCCCACCTGTCATGTCCACCATGGCTTCGTGAGGAAAGCCCATGTCCAACGCTCTATAGCCACCCTTCAACCTGGGACACAGACAGGCATTCAAGACAGGAAGTAAACACACAGGTGTTGTATATTCTGTGCGACTTACATATAAAAATATATAATTTCACGTTCGTTATTTTTACACTTTTACACTTTTTAGTGACTTATACTCAGGTTCGGTATATAAAAAAATATAAAAAAATATAATTTCATGTTTGTATTTGATTCTTTATTTGATTAGATCTTTATTTGAATTCTTTGTGTGTTGGGAAAATAAGAGTATGAACTAACAGCATATTTTACAGTCCTATCTAACAGAAAAAGTTTTGTTAAGTTACTTCAATGAATTTATTTAAATAATATATTAATTACAGACAATAATGGAATTGAAGCACATTTGAACAGCTCCTTCACTCTCTCATTTCTGTCATCCTGGTAAAACTGATAGTTACACTCCAGCCCTGCAGGTGGTGCTAATGCAACTTTTGATTAAAGGTGAGACAATCTTGCTCAACTAGTTGGATGTCCTGATCAAAGCTGATAATGATGGTGTACAAATTGTGTAACACGGTAATCTCTTATCTTTGCAGCTACGCAAATGTCTCAGCGGAGAACGAGGACATCAAAGCTTTGACGGTGTGGGAACAGGCACACAGTGTAGCCAAACTACAATAGACCAGATAACAGCTTTCTCATATACCTTTGGATGTTGACTACAATAACAGTACAGGTGTGAACTATTCTATGACTGTAGTGGACAGATGACAAATGAACAGATAAATAATGTAAAGAAAATATTTTTCATTTGTTCGAATAGTGAATAGTCTTTGTTTTGTGGAACACCAGGACTTACTTGGCATAGGCTTTCTCCAACAGGGGGCTCCAGAACTCAAACATGTCTGGGGACGTGAGGTAGATGAGTTGATTGTCCCGAGTTGGCAACAAATCATCGATTCTCACTTCCTCCCATACACCATACTGCCAGAACTGTACTAGGTGAAGGACAAGAAATGTTTCATGGTAACAGCACAGTTAGACAGAGAATGATAAACTTTAGCTCCAAAAATTCACAATTATTCAAACCACCAACACCACTCACATGCCCTGCTGGAGCGCCCAGTGAGCAGGACGGACGACACATGTTAGAGAGCGATTATCTGTTTACCTTGAAGGTGAAGCTGCCGTTGTATCCTTCCTGGAAACTCTGTCCTGGAGGAACAACTTTGTTGAGAAGAGACCGATGCACAGAGAGGGAAGCGATGGCAGCCAGAAACCAGCAGTCATCTGAAGAGAATCCATTTAGGTCAGAGGATGACCTACTGATACTTACGTTTAAAAAACTATGGCTTAAAAAAACCTCCATGGCTGAGAATTTGCAGACTGTATTTTCCGGACTATAAGTCACACTTTTCTTAATCTTTTTGCTGGGTTTGCGCCTTATACTGAGGTGCGCCTTATATATTAAAAATATATAAATTTCACATTGACAGCCACTAGAGGGCACTCTAGCTGGCTGGTGCAACTTATACTCCAGAGTGACTTATAGTCTGGAAAATACGGTAATTAGAGAATGATAAAGCATTTACTTCTGGTATATATTTTATTTTTTGTTTGTCATTTTGTTTCATGGCGGTACATGTCTTCAGACACTACAGGGTTTGTAATCCCTTTTTTTATTCATGGTCTGTGTGTCTTCATTAGTCCTTATCTACTTACTGAGTTTACCCTGGCGAATGTCCCGGTGCGTTGCTCCGTTGATGATGAAGTGAGGTGAAGGACACAGCTCCTAGGAAGAAATGACAGAGAAACACAGGTCAGTAGATCCAGGATTAAACAGGACAGAACAAGTCAGAGAGAATCCCTTCAGTAAGGAGTTACGTAATATGAACGCACAGAGGATCTAATGTTTGAATAACTTAAACATGTTAAGACAGGAGCCTCAGGCAGTTCAGAAAACTGCTTCAAAAAATAGTTTAATCTTTTTGAGCAGTTTTGAGCTGTGTTACTTGGTTTTTCCACCCACAATTATAAAATCAAAAATTTTGTTTGTCCTGGTTTTGACAAAGAAAAACAAGGAGACGCTGAACTTTAAACCTCACAAAGATGTTTAACAAGGCTTGTTAAAAAAAACTGAAAAGCCACTGTTTCTACTGTGTAGCAGTTAGCAGCCCTGCCTGTCACACATGGGCAAACTAAGGCCCGGGTGCCACCGGTTCAGCTTTTAAATCCAGCCTGCCAAACTTTTATCATTTATTTATCTGCTCCTGACCCATAAATCATAAAATGTTCCCACGCCTGTCCCAGAGGAACCACATAGTCTGTGCCACCAAGGAGCAGCCTGCTACAGTGCATCTGCTGTTAACACAACATAACCCAAGTTTATGTTTTTAAACAAAAATAAAATAAAGAGCATGAAGTAAATAGTTACAGTAAATACTGAGGTGCACTGAAATAAATGTATTTAAAAATGTTAAAATGAAAAGCTAATTGGTGTGGTTGTGATCCAGGAACAGGCACTGTGGTTTGCACAGTATGAAAATCTCCTCGCTAACACTGACCCTGCAGCAACTCTCAAACCTGTTTTTGTACATGCAGCATCAGCAACAGAATGAATTGTCAAGAGAAGAATTCAAGTTTTTAAATTCCACTCATTGCCCTGAGGCGGTTGACCTCCGAATATGCTGTTCAGAATACAGAGCCACACAGGGATCACCAGCAGAAACGTCCTGTGGTTTTATGACATCATCAGGAATCTTTGTGATACGGTTTGTTCTTATCAATTATTGATAAATAACACTTCAAAAGGAAAGTGAAAGCGGTTTAGCAATGAAGGTGTCACATTGATTTAACCCCAGACTCAGAGCTTTGCTCACTCGATGCTAATGCTAATGCTCACATTAGCTCTACGAATAAGTGGAAAATCCAATGACCTAAAAGCACCACAGCTTCTTCTTCTTCTTTCGACTTTGTCCCTTTTTTCAGAGGTTGTCACAGCGAATCATTTCCATCTCTCCCTGTTCTCTGTATCTTCTACTCTGACTTCAACTATCTGAATGTCCTCCCTCACTGCATCCATATATCTCCTCTTTGTCTCCATCTCTAACATTCTTCTACCAATGTGTCCACTGTCCCTCCTCTGCACATGTCCAAACCATCTCAGTCTGGCAAAAGCACCACAGCAGTGATTTAAGAATAAACAGCCGACTGTTGACTGTAATCAAACCACTCTTCTGAACAGTGTGATATAATATTATTATTATCAACATTATGCAGTTAGTTGGAGTCAGAGTAGAAGATGCAGAGAACAGGGAGAGACGGAAATCAATGATTCGCTGTGACAACCCCTGAAAAAGGGACAAAGCCGAAAGAAAAAGAAGAAGATTTTTGATAAGAACTACACCAACAATAGTAATAACAACAAATGTAATAATAATAATAATAATAAAGAAAAAATAAAATGTATTAACAGAAGGGATTTGTCGTTTCTGTGTGAATTAAACTCATGTTTACGTTGGTTCTATCTTAATGAGAACTTGCCATAATATTAAGGGTTAAAGTGCTATACATGTTAATGCAGGGTTTTTAATATTTTGAATTTTTTATTTTGGAGATTATTTTGAGTATATTTTTATGATGTTATTTTCCTCATACAAAGAAAGTGCTGTGTCTGTCCAGTTTTTTTTAACTGCAACTGGAGAATCAATGTGGTCATATGACACAATGACTGGACATCTATTCAAAAAGCTGTATAAATTATACAAGTAGTTTCATTCAACATAAACAAATTCATAGAGAGACCTGCAAAATAAAGAATTTTGTAAAAAGTTTAAATTGCCATAACTACATGTGCATTAGTCACAGATTTACTGACCCCAGTTTTTTTTATATAAACAATAAACAAAGTCTCGTTCAACAAAATGAAGGGGAGTTCTCTGTCAGTGAGTTGTCAGTTATTTTCTGCAGTCATAATTTCTACCTTTGGTCTCTTCCACCTGACCCCGGACTGCAGCTCCAGCTCTCCCACAGGGAATTGATAGTCCACGAAGAGTCCGTCCCGGTCCACGGTGCGCAACTCTCCGCTCTCTGAGGGCAAGTCGCCGGTCATCAGTTCGGCCAGCCAGCGGCGGGACTGGGAGCCGAGCAGCTCATCGGAGGAGACCGAGTCCACATCGTCGAAGGAGCTCTCAGAGGACACACTCAGTGACTTCAGCATGTCTGCGTTAATGCTGTGGACGCTGTGTTTAACTCAGCTCAGTTCTTCTTCCGTTTAGTCCGTGAGATTAGTCCACCTGAGCAGGTGATATAAAAAAAAAAAGACACGCCCGTGGTGACGTCAGTCCACGACACGCTTCTGTTACTGTCAAAGGAGTTAAAGAGCTCGCCCCCATGTTTTTAAAGTGTTGTTTACCTTATTACTCATGATCATTTTTTATTACTTTCACACTGTGGGACTTTTTTTATGTCTCAAATTAATTAGAAATATTAATAATTATTTCTAAAATGTCACTTTTACTTTCAAATCTTCACCTGTATGTACTCCATACACTAACGAGAGAGAATCCTTGAATTGGTCATAACACGTGTGCATGTATTAAAGCGTTAAAAAACATCAGCTAGAACTGCATGGGTGCAGAGTAGATAGAAACCTTCTAAATACAGTTCATCAGACAGGACAGATACTTTGACGTGACCATTTCTAAACAAACAGAAGCGAGTCAATATCTGTTGACATGAAAGGAAAACACAATGCAAATGCAGCAGATTGCCACACCTCAGAGTGTGGGCGAGACGCAGCTTTAATCTCTCTACCTGATTCATATTACATTGTTTTTACAACACATCAGGAAGTTTATTTCTGGGAAGCTGGAGAAAAAAAATCCCACTGGAAGAAACTTAAACCGTCCGAATCCTGTAGCTGCATCAAGAATTTAAAAAAAGAAAAAGAAAAGGCAAACGCATAAAGCTTGTACAAGTTAAATACGTTTTATTGAGAAAGTTTTGAATATGAAAGTTCATGCCACGGTCAGATTTGCTGTGAGTTGGTGTGAGGTGAAGGTCTTCTGTGAGTTTCATCACTGAGATGTAGCCATGATGCTGGACACACCTGTGGAGAGGAAACAATCGATGATGTTTTCACCAAAGTTGAAAATACATTAAATGTGTTTCAATCAAACACTGACTCTCAAAGTCGATCTTTTCCACGATGTTCTTGGGCTTGACGCTCTCCTCCTGGCTGAAGATGAAGATCTGTCCGTCCTCGTTCTCCGTCCAGCCGTACTTGTTCATCCACACCTTCACCTGAGTGTCTGGACACACAGAGACACTTTTAAATACAAACAAATATTCCATGTCTGTATGTCCATGATTGTCCTAGGTATAATGTCTTTGTTAAGATGTCCAGCTGTTTTAAGTCTGGTCAGACAGACAGAGGTGAGAACTGCTTTAAATAAGACGATGACTGGACATGATGTGTTTGTAGCAGGTCAGGTCAAAGGTCTTACCCAGAGGGTCTCCCAGCATCTCACCCAGTAACCGGTGCTCAATGGTCTGGTAGGTGATTCCTACAACGTGGCAAATAACTACAAAAAACACAAATCACAAAAAGTGAACAAACACACCATGATACGACACCTTTGCTCATTTGCCTGAAAATAACTTTCTGAATTTTCAGATGCAGAAACCAAATCTTTATGAATTCTCAAAAATGTTCCTGCCCCTTTGGCAATTTTTAATCTTCAGAAAAGAGTTCTGTTTTCCTGATTTTCAATAACATTTACATTGCCACCTAAGGATCAGTTCAGCTTCAGCATAGATAACCTGGCATCTCATCTATGAACTAAAATACATTTAACCTTTACTGACAGGAAGAGAGAATACAAGAAACCAGAAAATACACTTTTAAAAGCTGAACTGTTTCATTTGAATTATAATTTGAACATAAAGTCTAGCAGTGGTGAAGCCAGAAAATGCACTTTTATAAGCTGAACTGTTTCGTTTAAATGATAATTTGAACATAAAGTCTAGCAGTGGTACTTTTTTTTTTTTTTTACAGTTTCCTTTCAGTGTGCACCTGTTCACTGTATTTCCCTGAAAATCATCCCTGAATATACAGTGAGTCAAAGGTTGACACTCACACTTCCTCACAGAGTCCTCAAACCCAGTGATGCCATCGATGAGCTCTCGGTTCTCCTCCAGACTCGTCTGTTGGCACAACAAAGACACAAAGAGTTAACGGCGCTGAGTCAACGCTGTGTTGCACAAGTTTGGAAGAAGAAACGGTTTTTGAGTTTCCAGGATGGAAATAAAAAAGGCTGGTCGGCTTTGACCAGAAAGACGAAGTTAATTCAATTAGTGATTAGTCATCGATGAGGTTGAACCTCACTCCAGCCCAATCTCAGCTTTTATTTGTACAGAAATGGACTGTTGTTGAGCTAAAGGGGACGATCAGGACTTGACTTCGAGGGTGTTGGTTCACATATTTGTCTCTGGAGGCTCTGCCCACTCCCTAACCAATACAGTCAGGACTGTGTAAGATTTTGGAGTAAAAAAAACAAACAAACTACTGGTTGTAACACGTGCCAGTTTGTGAGAGACCCACAGATTACTAAGTTCACTGTCTCAGTAACACTTTTGACAGGTCTACTATGTAATGTGTATACTAAAGCAGTACTGCAGTGTCAGTTAATAATGAAAAAAAAAAAAAAACTCTAGGTTTGCTTCGTTATAACCTGGCAGTTACATCAGCAGACCCAGGCGTCACATGATGATGTCAGCCATGACCTTGCAGCAGAGACAGACCTTCTGGAATTCCCAAAGCAAAACCTTGGTTGAGAAGAACACTAGTGCTAACTACAGTTTACGTGCGTGTGTGTGTGTGTGTGTGTGTGAAAACATTATTACCCAGAAACTCTGGAAGTGACATGTCTCCAACAGGTTCCCCAGGTACAGGATCTGTCTGATCGGACGTTCCTCTTGCTGCGACACAGTAGTCAAGGAAATGGACCCCAAACACACCTACACATCTGACCACCCACCCACCCACCGCAAACCAATTACTATGTACATGCAGTACCCATAATATAGTATTTAAAAACATAAACCAATGATATCAAATCTTTCACCAGAAATCTGACAGTGACTTATTTGACTGGCAGAAAACAAACTGAGACAGAACAGAAACTTCACCAACTGTGTCTGTTTACATCTACAAACAAAAAAGCTCTACTGGGACAGCAAAGACTAATACATTATGAATTAATTGTCAAACTGTCAATGTCAACTTGTATTTTTGCTCCATTTAATGAGAAAGCAATAAAACAATGGTATTTGGGAGTACTGGATTATTTTTGAACTGTGTATAGATAAAAAATGTCGGAATGTTTCTTAATCAACTAATTGAGAGAATACTCAATTGATTAATCAGTTGCCAAAAAAACCTTCTAGCTGTTACAGTGCAGTAGTGAATACATTAAAGTCAAGTGATTTTCACACTGAAAATACCAAAGGGATACGTGTGTCTGGTCAATCATGCACTTGCAGAGAGTGAAGTCAGTGTGTGGCAGGTTGGTCAGGGCCTTCAGCAGAATCTGTGAGGTCACAAGGGTCTGAAAGTAGGCAGGGTTAAACTGGTACCTGCAGAGAAAGAGACACAGGGTGATTCTTTGAAACAGAACCTTCCAACTGTTCTGGTTCTTTGTAACAAAAGTTTAAAAACAACAAAAACATTTGCTAAATGTTGTGTTTCAGAGGAGTGTAACAGCTTAAATATGATCCAATATCCACGGTATATAAACTGGTGGAAAAGTCCTGTCTGATAGAGGATGTCAGGAAAAGAAATTCATCCAGTACTTGGTTTTCCCTCACAGGTAAAGACTCTCCTGTGGGCACATGCAACATTATGCCTAGGTTTGAATATGATCTGCCAACCCAGTAACAGAGTGACTCACAGCTTCAACACAGCCAGGTTTGCCTCCAGGTCATAGGCGTTTTCTCTCGCTTGTGTCTCTACGTAGCGCTCCAGCGTTGCAAGGTTTTCTGGGTTGTACCTGACAGAGACACAAGTTCACCGGTGGATGATACATTTATAATAATAAAACCACATATGAGCACACAGTATATTCTGTACTGCACTGTTCTTGACAAATGTATTATGTCCTTGTAAAAGGGTTTTAACATTTGGAAGAATATCAACAGCTTTTGCCTTTATCAACTAATGGAGAAACAAGACTGAAACATAAAACAATTACTTAAATGGTTTATCCATCTGGAAGGCTGTTGATAGCATCATTGGATAGCTTAGCTACAGTGGTTTAATTGTTCGATTCTTTAACACTGTCAATTACTCTTGAGTCAGTCGTTATTCACCTCATAAGACCCCTAGCATGACCTTGATTACAGTGCCATATAATAATGCAGAGACGATATAAATGTAAAACTGATATTAACGTCTCCGTCATTACACACGTAAATAAAGGGGCAGTGAACTCTATACTTGCTATATAACGTGTAAAGTGGTGTTGTAGCAACTTCAGTCGCAAAAATTCAACGGCAAACAGGAATATAAAATATAATCAATATTGGTACCGCTATAATGTGTGATTTGTAAAGTTGTTGGATTGACATAATAGTCCTTTTTTATCTCCCTAATAGCAAACATGCTAAGCTAACGTTAGCTTCCCTGCTGAGTTTCCATCTATCCATGTAAGACCAACTTACCTGTCGATACCCCGCAGGAGTTTCCCCACGTTCGCCCTCATCTGCTCAAAAGACGACGACATCTGGTCTGAATGTTTGTGGTGAACTTTAAATGCGAAATAAGAACTTATTCCACACGTGGGCCTTTGGAGTACCGGGCGGCAAGAAAGATGCGTCGGAACGAAAAGAACGGCGCACAAGCGTGAACGGAAATTGCACGGACGCGATGCAGCGACGTACCGCCAGTAGATTAATCAATCGTTTGCCTTTACCGACATATATTTTTATTTAATTAGGTTCTGATCCTATTTGGTTCTATTATGTTTTTGCTCCATTACGTTACCCAGCAATATCTAATAATTTAAAGTCAGCTTTGAGAGTTTGACCGGAAAATGGGTTGATTTGTCATGTTCCTGACGTAACCAAAATGGTTTGACGAGCGACAGTTTTGCTTCAACATCCAAAATTAAGTCATGCAAGAGATATTTTATTTAAAAGTTTGAGAATATAATTCGCGGTGAAAATCATTAATTGAGAAAAAGAGACATTTCACGTTTATAAAGCTTGAATGCAAATTTGTTGCAGCTGATACAGAAAACGCTAATAGATTTTCTGTTTTATCACATCCTGAAAACGTATCAGTGCTGTTTAAATTGCACCATCAAAGCTAATGAAAACAATAAAACTTATTTGCTCTTAAATAATACACCATTTAGGTATTTATTGTTATGCGACTTTTACATACAGATTCATAGATATATGGTCTTATCATTTCTAGGCATAATCTCGCACTTTGATTTAATGTGCGTTTATTCATTTGACAATGATCTAAACTTAACATCTAATTCAAAACACGCAAATTCAGAAACGTAAGAAAAGAGACACAACGTTTTCACTATACACCCTGTTATTACCACATGAGGCCAACAGATGGCAGTAATAGAAGCATTTCCGTCCGCCAGTGAACAAAGAAACAAAACTTTGTTCCTTTTCTGAATCCGACACTAAATAAAGTATAGATGTTCTGATGAGGCCTGCTCTGGGCAAAGCCGTTATGTGAGCTCGATCGGCCTCTGTTTTGTGTCTTTCACATGTGGGCGTTGTCTAATGTCAGTGTAGGCAGGAAAGGTGTGATAGCTGCAACGTCTTCAGAGTCGAGACAGATGGGTGGGTAAATGTCAAACGGTGATGCCAGTGAGAGATATGGCCTTTCTTTTCAGCATATATTTGTTCGTATTCTTTATATGCAAGAACCATGTGGTTGCAAAGTACGATGAGAAGTTAGTCCCAAATGAGTTTGACCGCAGTGACCCACTCTCAGACTACTTCATGCAGGTTAACGACAACGTTTAACCACACCGAACCTACGCATTTTACCATGTTTAAACCTAAGCCGATTTCCATTTGCAGAAATACATAAGACAAAAACATGTCATTTACACGCCTGATACTATAGGTGGACGGAAACTGATTTACTTTAAAACACAGGCCTCATCTATTCTATAACCTTCTGTGTAGATCAGCAGTACAAATCAAATAAAGTGCAGTGTCATTCATGTATGCAGTGTCATGTACGTGTTTCACTGGAGCTATGAATTCATCACAAAATGTGTATAAAACTACAATTTTCTAAATTTTTTCTAAATGCTGTCAGATGTGTAATTTGACCAGGGCCAATTTGTAGAGGCTAGACGGTGGTCAGTGCCCAGCTGCAGGCTGACGAGCAAGGCACTAGTGTTGTGGGTGCAGACCTGATGCAGGTGAGCCCAGTCACAGTGATGATGCCTCTCTTTAAATTAGTAGGAGTCAGGACCCAGGAGAGAGGAGAATGAGAGCCGTCAGAGGCAGTGTGGACTGCTGACTGATGTGCAGTAAGAGCGCCGAGTTGCTGGCACAGCACTGCAGCAAATATTCAGGAACTCATGTGTTACACAACAGTTTACATTTTGGAAATGGACTGACGCAGGAGTGACCTTTAATCATGCTCTTACTGGACTCACTGACACACACACACATCACCCATAAATTTAGAAAAGCAGATTTATAAATTTAGGAAATCAGGAAAAGGCCAGGCTGCACTTCCTGTTTTTAAAAGTCATTCTATGAAAACACTGGGCCATTCAGTCCTGTCATTTTCTGTGAAGCTGGATTTGCCTGGAATTTTTTCTTTCATGCCACTCAGAGTTGCCCCTAGTGGTTGTAATGTGGCTTTTAGTCTTTTTGATGATCTTGACCAGTTGACTATGTCTCTGAGAGCAGAGGTTTTCCTTGAGCATTACAACAATATTTTTTATTAATTCTATTGTGCTGACCCTGCGTTTGGCCAAAATACTATTACAGTACTACATGGTTACTACATTTAATTTTAGGCTGTAATATCATTGCATTCCATTCCAAAGAAATGCTCCATCTTACCTGGGTCCAGGACATAATCTTAGCTGCATTCTTGGGCCCACCCTGTAATCTGGGCCTGGGACACCAAATTGGTTTGTCTCCCCCATTGACGGGCCTGGTTACTAGTTTTCTACCAGTACTAAACTGAAATCTCTATTTGACAAGTTGTGATGTTAAGGGGTTTTTTTTTCAATCTTTTTCGGCCTCATCATGTCTTTCACCCTGATTAAAGCCTCCTACACAGCAACGGTTTCAGTTGATGATTGTTTTTCAACCAAGAGAGAGAGAGAGAGAGAGAGAGAGAGAGAGAGAGAGAGAGAGAAAGAGGGAGCAATAGTGAACTTAGAAACACCAAAGGAGTTTCCCCTGCAGTCTAGGCCTACAGCAGCAGGACTAGTGCATGATTCTGCACCTTCCAAGGATGAGTGATATTTTAGTTAAAACTTAATATAATAATAATAGTTCAAGAGTGAGTCTGTTTCTTCTTTTCTCCGATAATTTACTCAACATTTATTTCTATTTTCAGTCCACATCATAGCTTTTAAAGGACCACCAAAACATTCCTCTGAGAGAAGAGACAGATGAACCACGCCACAGCGCAGCTAGTTTATGTTGTTTGAAGCACTGTTTTGTGTTTGTCAACATAGATGCTCCATGTTGCAGCTGTCATCCTCCCCATTTGGACATTCTGCACCTTAAGTTGATTGTGCTCGTCCATTGAGCCATTTCGCTGCACCAACCATATGAAAACTGTACTATGCAAATGAGTTGACAGGAAAAGTAAGCATCTGAGAGAGGGGGAGGAAGGTGAGAGAGGTTTAAGGAGGGAGGACCTTTAGCTGTCGTACAAACTGAAACAGGAAGGAGTGTTCGAGAGAGAGAGGGAGAGAGAGAAAGAACGAGTGTATGACATGAGCTGAACAGCATTCAACAGGCTTGAAAGACAAAGAAGCAGTGTGTACTCAGTAGTCAGTGTTGTGTGAAAGTGTGTGTTAGTGAGTGTGTGAGAGAGAAAAAGGTGGCAGAAAAGAGAGAGAGAGAGAAAGGAGAATTGAGGACAGAGATGCTGAAGAAGGGATATTAGCGGTGTTGGTAGGTTAGAAATGGACCCCCAGCACAGGGCAGCTCTTGATATCTCCACCAGGAATCCACAGGACGATTTTGAGATTCTGCTCAGGGTCGGAGGAGGAACATATGGAGAAGTTTACAAGGTCAGAAAAAAAAAGTCCCTCAACTCTATCTTAGTTGAAATGTGAGCAACTAAAAATATGGCAAATATAATGTTGTTGGTAATGTTTATTTTTGACAAATCTGAAAAATTAAGAAATAATGAAAATGTGAGTCACCTCTCTTCCATTTTACATTTTGTTTCTTGTTTTTGAAGTGTGTGCGTATGTGTGTGTAAAATGCAAATTGGCAAGTTTGAATTTAAATATTGGTTCATGGGATTTTTAATGGTTCATTGCAGTGAGGGAAGGTCTCAGCTCTGTTGGAGGAAGTGGTTTTTACAGCAAGTGAAAGTACTCTTCAAAAAAGCTCACATTTTAAGATCTGTGCAATGATTCTCTGATGATATATGCGAGAACAAAACAAAACTTGGTAAAGGTGTGATTCACCAAATCCTCTGACTGTGATCAGGTTAAGAACACAGCAGCTTCCACACACACACTTATCTTAACAATGAACAGATGTGACGTGAGACTCTTCACACTCTGCACATTACTTCCTTTGTTTAACACCAAAGCAGGAAAAGAAAAGAAAACATGTTTGGTTTGCACATCTAAAATCTAGCTTTGCTTCGTTATAACCTGGCAGTTACATCAGCAGACCCAGGCGTCACATGATGATGTCAGCCACGACCTTGCAGCAGAGACAGACCTTCTGGAATTTCCAAAGCAAAACCTGCTCCTTGGTTGAATGCGTCGTTGCACCTTCTCACTAAAATCTCTCTTGACGTAGATAATGTCAGAATGAGACCAGGGGAAACTGTGTGGTGTCTCTTACACGCTGCAGAGACATGTTGGACACAGACTCAGGGTCCAGATGTCCAGGCTCTGTACAGCAGTGGTGTGAACAGTTTAAATAAGAGCAGGTTCCACTTAGGAAAAAATGCAGCTTGGTCTATGACAGATGAGTTTATTAAATATCTGACAGTGAGCTACGGAGGCTGTGGTGATACCTTATTTAGTTATACTTTTAGGTAAGTTTAATGGGTAACACTAACTTGATTTACTTTTTCTGTACCTAGAATTACAATGAGGAAGGTCACATGTATTTATTTTACTTAGACAAGCTGTTGTCAAACGGCCAGACCAGCAGTTTTCCCCAGTCAGTCAGTCATGACTAATAGTTTGAAGCCGTTGACTAAACTAAAGTGTACAGTAATACACACTGTCATCTTGCTAGATGTTAAAGAAAAGAAAGCACTGCTGAGAAGTGTTCTAGTGCAGAACCAGACAAAACCAGTTCTGATGGTGTAATTCAGCATTCTGACCTTCTGGTTTTTATGGTTTTCTGATGTAGTCGCTTTCTCAGAAACTTTGTTCATGGAGCTTTACAGTATGTTCACATATGATGTTAAGTAAAGTAAAGGAGCTTTACAGTATGTTCACATATGATAAAAACAACCCATGTGACTGTGTGTACATTGTATTGAACAAGCAGCTACAGTCACCGTCATCCCTCTGTAGTTACTGTAGATGACGCCGAATATCAAGTTATGCTCGTATCAGAGGAACGTACAGTACAGTCCCATAGAACCTTGTGTGTTATCCTGCAGTTAAAAAAAAAAGAAAGAAATTAAAAATAAGCCGTTTCTCTTCATTTTGATGTTAAAATTGTTTGTTTTTTTAAGTTGAAACAGCTCAATGTCTGGAGTCTAAAATAAACACCTTTTGTTACATCTGTCCTACAACATTTGGAGTCACCCACCTACAGTCTATCTTAAGCATTTAGATTAGTAGTCATGGTGTCTGAAAAGGTGACTTCATTCACTGTGGGTTTGAGTCTGTGTACAAGAACCACATTAGTTGAGATGACAGAAGACTGAAGCTCTTTGTCTACAGTAAAGGATACAGATCATCATCATTTTCTTTAGATAACAGTACTTAAAAATGTACTGCTGTAGATTGTGAATACCGGTTATCTGCATTCAGATGTGTATTCTACAGGAGTTGTGCAGGATGTTTTCGGGGTTTTTTGGCCTGTTCAACCTGATGGCATGTAATCCAGCAGCATTTCTGAACAAAGCTGAGTCTTCAAATATTCACCATTCTTCCACTGCGGTATACTTTGTGCAATGAACTCAAGCATAGTGTTGGTAAAAAGGCCTTGTTCTACCTGTTCCTCAGCACCAGGCGGTGGACGGCTTCATATAAACAACGGCTGCATCTGCACAGAAAACTGTGGTTTCAAAATCCCTATGAGATAAGATCAAAATGTAGGAAAACTTTACTTCATCCTGAACATCCTGAGACCATGAGTTGGAGGATTTGAAGCTGTCACTGTATGTTGTAGTTTTTGAAGTTAACTGCCAACTGGAGCCCAAAGTAAACTCACAACAAAGACTGGTTTAGGCTCACAAACGAGTGAGGACTATATTACTTACCTAAATTTAAATATATATATATATTTATAATATTATATATATATATATATATATCCCATTACATACATCCATTAAATACATTTTTCCAATCAGAAACCTTCATCAAACATTGATTCAGTAAATGTCTGAGCATCAGCTCCCTCATGATAAGAGCCCAACAGAGGATGTACTTCCTGAAGCAGCTGAAACAGTTCAATCTGCCAAAGTCAATGATGGTAAACTTCTACACCTCCGTCATTGAGTCTATCCTCACCTCCTCCATCTCCATCTGGGACGCTGCTGCCCCTGCAAAGGATCTGAGCAGACTGCATTGTATCATCTGCTCTGCTGAGAAGGTAATTGGCTGCAACCTACCCGTGCTACAGGACCAGTTCACCTCCAGAACCCTAAAGCGAGCAAAAAAGATCACAAGTGACCCCCTCACCCCAGGCCCAAACTCCTTGAGGTGCTCCCCTCCGGCAGGAGACTGCGGTCCTCCTGGACCAAAACCTCTCACCACAAAGACAGATAAAAGGCTCTAACTGATCCCCCCACTTCACACTACCTGCACACACACGCCACTGCACTTTAAAAATGTTGTATATTCTCTACGGAAAGCTACCGGGCAATAAAAATGTTTCTGATTCTAATGTCAGATTAATTCAGATACACAATGAAAGGTCAGTCTGACCTATTGTTCATCTGTCTGCTAAGCAACAAAACTGTCACTACTGACAAAACCATTGGAGGCGTCTTGAGTAACGTTCAAGTTTACTGGTGACTTATTAGTAGGTCACATCCTGTTTGTGTTTCATATCTCTATGATTGCAATGTAAACTTATCTGTACTTCAAATCATATCTTTTTGATTTTTAAATTTCATTTACGAAGCAGTAGCTGTTTCTGGGACAGCTCTTTGAAGTTGGCTGTTTAGGAACAACTCACACTTGAATGCGATGCTGCTCTGACCATGTCGAGCTCTTCAGCTCCAGTAAACCCGGTTATCTGATGCGGCATGTGCTGCTAAGGTGCATTTGAGGTTGCTAGTGCAACTCTAGTTTCAGTCATGTAGCTTCACAAAAGCTACGACTGCTGCACCTGGCATGTGTTTAACATCACACACAGAATGAAGAAGTGAGATCAGGGAAGGGCACATAGCAAAAATAACTCCGTGTGTGTATGTGTGTGTGTAATACAAGAATTATGATTAATATTAATTGTGAGTGCAATACAAGAATTATGATTAATATTAATTTGAGTAAGAATTTTCTAAAACAGAAACAACTACATTGTATTCAGTATATAAATTGCTAATATATTCTTGATGTGAATGTAAATGATCATTCCAAGAGATTGAAATAACAACATGATAATTTTCAATTCCAGCAGATTGTGGAAAATAGTATGCAGACCTAATAACTGTGTGGTCCCCTCTGACCTAACACAGGACCCGCAATGTCAAAGTAGTAATGAAAAAAGTAAAAGAAAGAGAAATGTATGTCACGAGTAGTATTTACACTAAAAATAGCACTGAGTTTGTTTAACAGGAACCACTGAAGCTTTACAGCAGGTCAGATGTATCTTAAGGTTTCTTTGTTGGAGCACATTAACAAACAAATGCCTGTATTCACAGGTCAAACTTTTTTTTTTTTAAATAAAACCAAACTTAAGACAAATGAGAAGCTTTTAGCATTCTGCCTAATGTCCTAACATTAATGGTTAACTTTAAAAATATTAATGTACATTTATTAGTTCATCATTTGCTTAGAAATTATTAAACTTGTTTTTAACATAAAGATGAAAAACACCTTTAAATCCTAGTGAATAACCACCAGGGGAAATGTTTGTGGTTGTTTGTGTTTTGTTGTTGCTGCAAATTGACACCTCTTAATATTCAGTGTTGCAATATACGAAATGTAACATTTAGTATGTTACATGAAATATAATTATAACATTATTCCTCATATATGTGTTACTTACTGTTTACATTGGCTAATTTTAATACTTTTCATATTTACACTGAAAGAATTTGGCCATAGTGAGTACATATGTTGACAGTAAAGATTCTATTTTATTCTTGAACACTTTGTTACATGTAAATGATAGAACACACATTCTCTTCAGCACAGGTAGAATTAAAGGTCAGCAGCTTGAAAAAGACAGAAGCAGGAAACAGAAATGGTCATAAAAACACACACTATACCAAAATTTAAAAAGTGTATTTTTTTAGCGTTTCTTTAAGGAGTACCAAGGAAATACTTTGGAGTCAGGATTTATTTCAATGTTGAGGATTTGTTTGGTAGTTCAATCGCTACATTTAAATAAACTGGAGAAAATCCAGTTATATTGTGTTGGTGGAGCTAAAATTAAAAGTACTTCTATTTGAAGTATATTTTTACGTTAGACATTATGTCAAATTACAGAGGTCATTTATAGGAAAGTTGGGTCCATCACCTTCATCATCACCTCCGCCTTTGTTTACTCATCATCATATACCTCAACACGCACTTGATGATGGAAATGTTATGAATAAGCGAGGCAGCCTGCGCAATGACGACCCTGTTGTCTGAGACTGTTTGGTTGTTTATTGTTTACTTGGTATGACTCCCCCTCAGTGACCTCTTCAATGTCTCTCTCTCTCTATATCTTTGTGTCTCTCATCTCTTTCTGACACACAAAGACTAAAGGAACTCTATTACTGAATGGAGTTTCCAACTACATTGTTTTTACCTTTAACACATTTCCCTCGTCTTTTACTTTGATCATGGGTAAACTTGTTTATGTTGAGTTCCAGAACAGACTGCTCGTCTGCAGTCATCATAACCAGAGCTCATCATAATCATACTCAAGTTTTGGCTCATCAGAACATCGTTCGCATTTAAAGCTTGGGGTAATGACGTGGTCTGAATTAGTCAGACTTCAAGTGAATGTTAGGTCAAGTCTAACGTGAGATCAACAGTTACAAAAACAATAGACAGGATTTTACAGCCATCTGTCCCAAGCATGTCTCTACATCATTTTGTAATTATAAATATGTACATACTTTGTTACCGCAAATAATTTAACAAAATAAAAATGAAATCCAGGACAGAAAAATGTTTTAATCGGTGAGTCCTAACACCATATCATAACCATCTTTTTTGTTTTAAAAGAAGCTAGTGTATATTGATTTGCGTTACCATTTGATGACCGGATCTATTTACATTACAAACACACATCATGTAAATAGAGCTAACCGTTGGCATAGCCAACACAGGCAGCTCATTTATGAGTAATACCAGTGAATTATCTGGCAGCCTCAGAGACGGTGCTTTCTACTGAGTGTCTATGTAGTTGTCCTGTCAGTTAAGACCTTTTTATAGAGAACTGTGTCTGGTGTATATATATATATATAAATATTGTGAACGAAGAAACAGAAGTGATGCGCGACACTCAAAGGTCAACGTGTGTCTGTGTGTGTATGTCTGTGTGTGTGTGTATGTCTGTGTGTGGGAGCGGTGTACAGAGCTCACTGTTGCCCTCCACTTAACTGAGTTACAACAAATGAGGTTGTTCAGATGCACAACTGTAAAACTTAACAACATTATGTACTTAATACTATAACCTCTTTACATGTCTGTGTTTTTTTAGGCACGCAACAAGCAAAATGGGGAGCTGGCTGCTATCAAGGTCATCAAAATGGAGCCAGGTGAAAACTTTAGTCAGAGACACAAAGTCGTGATGACTTGTTTTATTTACTTGGTATATAACAGCTATCTAGAAAATGTTGAACCACACGTTCAACCAACCCTTAAAATAACCATGTTTTCCCATTACGTTCACAGAGGATGATTTCTCCATCATCCAACAGGAGATCGTCATTGTAAAGAGCTGCAAACATCCCAACATAGTAGCTTATTATGGCAGTTACATACGGTAAATCGTCTGTCCCACACTACACTCTCAGGTCAAGGTCCAACAGTCCACTCAAGTGTCTGCTCACCTGTTTGCAGAGCTCATAAACTGTGGATTTGTATGGAGTTCTGTGGAGGAGGCTCCCTGCAGGACATCTATCAAGGTGAGAAAGTCAGGAGTGTCGGTGTGTTTGCATTCCAGTCCACAGATCCCATTAATGACACATTAAGATAAAAATAAATCATTTTCACAGTGACAGGTGCTTTGTCTGAGCCACAGATAGCCTACATCTGCAGAGAAATGTTACAGGTAAATGACTTTATATGTTTATATGAATCCAGGTCCTTAACTTTAATAGGCTCAATAATACCTCATGTATTATTGTTTTCTTTATTCATGACCAGGGCTTGGAGTATTTGCACGCTCAGAAGAAAATTCACAGAGATATCAAAGTAAGTCTTGTCTTTAATTTCACCATAAAAGTTTACATTTCTCTTTAAACGTATGTATTTACATAGCTCCAAAAGTTGTTTTAAATGTGTGTAATGACTTAGAGATCGAATCTAATCTGACATTTTAGTTTACCTAATCTTACATAAATTAAATTTAATGTTAAATCAAAAACTAGAGAGTCACGGTCAGACTGAACATACTGAGCATCTGGAGCTTCAAATAACTGTATTAAATAAACTGGTCTTAATTTATTCAATTACTACTGTGTAGATTTTGATAAAGTTCAGAGAGTGGGTGCTGGAGAATCTTTGTACAATAGTTAATATGTCAGCTTGACAAGTGTCCGTCTGTTTGGGTTTTTTCCTCCAGGGTGCCAACATCCTCCTCAATGATCAGGGCGAGGTCAAGCTGGGTAAGTGTGTGTGAAAAAACTGTTTTATATAAAATATGAGCTACAGAAAGAATTCAATTCAAAACCTTTTTTGCAAAGAAAGACTTGTCCATTTGGTACAACACATTTGCAGCAGACTTTGTCTCATTTTCTTCTCTCCACAGCTGAGTTTGGGATCTCTGCACAGATCACTGCAACTCTAGCTCGGCGAATGTCCTTCATTGGAACGCCATATTGGTAAGAACAAACCCTATTATTAACTAACATTAAACCCTAGTAATACATCTCAAAATACAGTTGAAGCCAAACATCTGCATACCACACTGATAACAACTGAAACAAACCCAGCTTCTTTCCTCCCTGATTGCCACATCTCTCTGGCTGTTTTAAACACACAACCAAAAACCAACTTTGACGTCACCTAGTTATTTTTCTCCCTGGTTTTCAGGATGGCACCAGAGGTAGCAGCAGTGGAGATAAAGGGCGGCTACAATGAATTGTGTGACGTTTGGTCCGTGGGAATCACAGCTATCGAGCTGGCAGAGCTACAACCTCCACTGTTTGACGTCCACCCACTGCGGTAAAGGCACTCTAAATCACGCGTGTGTAGTTGCCTTCATTGATACAAACATGTTCCAGCAGACATGGAAACAGTACTGCACAAGTGTAACATTTATTCTCATCAATAAATGTGTGGAAAACCTGTTAACTGAAGCTAACTGAAGCTAACTGAAGCTAACTGAAGCTAACTGCTGTCCTTCCCAACAGTGTCTTGTTTCTGATGTCCAAGAGCAGCTACCAGCCCCCTAAACTCAAGGACAAAAATAAATGGTAACTCAAGCATGACTTGGTGTGGTTTATTTTAATAACAAATTGCATATTTTATTTTAACTAGTTTTATTTTACTTTTCAAAACGTACTTTTTGCAGTTTCTGCAACATATGGCTTTTGAATGTTTTCAATTACATTATTTTACTTACAGAATTTCATATTATTTTCAAATTAATAAAAATCTGTTTAAGTGTATAATTTTATAGGCTTATATTAGGTATTTCCTATGTTCTAAAATATTCTATAAATTAATTAAAAACAAGGAGATACATTCTTATCAAGAATAAATAAACATAGAATGCCATTTTATCAGTATTATAAGCAAATTGTAATGTATTTAATGTTCTATTATGTGTGTTAAATAAAAATATTTCTAACAATCATTTTACAAAGTCATTTGATCTCATCTGCAGGTCGTCCACATTCTATAACTTTGTCAAGGCCATGTTGGTGAGGAACCCAAAGAAGAGACCGAGTGCCTCCAAGACACTCACAGTTAGTACAATTAAAAATGACCTTTAATCAAATTAGATAGATTACATTTGATTATTTTTGTGATCAGTAAATATCTGAACAGAGTCATTTATAACAACGCGTTCTAAACTATCTCCAATTCACTGTTTCTGCAGAATGTGTTTTTGACCCAGCAGTGTCTGAACAGGGATCTGACTCTGGAACTACTGGAGAAGTTTCGCCACCCTGAGAAACTGAGGAGCTGCGTGGCCACAGATGAGGAGGAAACAGAGGTCAGATTGATTATCTACTCTTTTCTTTTAGAGCTAAATATTAAGAAGTAGCAGTGAGCAAAATCTTCCAGGTTGACTACACTGTTCACCCTGGAGTTCAGGTTAACTGGTGTGGTTTTTTTTTTGCTGATATAAGGTGGCAGTACCTGGGTCTTTAAGAAGGATTCAGTCCATTAACAAACACAATAAAGCAGAGAGGACCAGCTCTGACATAAGCTGTAAGTACTAACTCACTTTAAATGATTTTCATATATATATACATATATAAAATTTTACCGTTTTAAATGCTATTGAACATAGATTATCATGATGACATAACGATAAATTTCCTTTTGCTCGGATGGAAATTCTTGCGTAATGTGGACAATGGCTCAAATGTGAAAACATGAAAATGTCAGTGTGTGTGTGTGAGACTGTTTTTACTTGTGGTTGCTCAGTGGAACAGATCTACACTCAAAGGGGAGTAAGAAATGAAGCATTCAGTCTTCTGGTAAGAAACACAGCCTTTTAAACTTCATTATTAAATAATTGAAAACACTTTTTGTTTTAAACTGTCAGTACTTGATAGACATTTCCTCCTTCTTTTTTCTACATATATGCTGTCTACAACTATCTTTTTAAGCTTTCATCCTGAACAAACTTTCAATCCTTTGTGTCAGTTCTTGCAAAATTAAACTCAACTTTATCA